ATCTATCTATCTATCTATCTATCTATCTATCTATCTATCTATCTATCTATCTATCTATCTATCTATCTATCTATCTATCTATCTATCAAACAAGTCTTTGTGAAGCCAACATTCAAAGTTTATCTTGGCAATTTTGTTACAAATTACAGTTATTTCAGTTCATTTAAATTCTCCTTTGCATTTAAATTCACATGTAAATTCTGTATCCTGTTTGCAACCTCAATTCAAACTCAGGACCTGAACTAGAATTTAAAACACATTCTCAATCCACGTCTGAGTATCTTCCTGGTATAAAAAAAAAATTTTTTTTTGCTACATGAAGGAAGTAAAGTCACGCTGATTTGGATCGACGTGACGGCGAGTAAATCACCGTTTCTGACCGAACTCTTCCAGCTTAGATCTCAGACGCCACTGTTTATTCTCGTCCGTGGCTTTGAGAGGAACTTCCTGTGAGTTCACGTCCTACATGAGCGGCCTCGCCAGGCGCCCGACTCCGTCAGCATATAATGAGAGGTTAATTGAGCTCTTCCAGCCAGAGGATTTGTCATTATAAAGGAACAAGCGCTCGGGCGCTGTAAGGTCTTCACATACTCTATTCTCATCCATCACATGAGGCCATTACGGCAGGAATTTAACAGCTCTTTCATGCAGTTAAACACTCGCGCAACAGACAGCGAGCGTGTGGCAGAGGGGTATAATAAAACTCACACACCCACAGGACGAGGGCTTTTATAGGGTTCGGATGAACTGCGGCTGATGGGAGACAGATAGAGCTCATCTAACAGCAGCTGAACTAGATTTGACATTTTCAGAGGAAATGAAAGTGGTTTTTGTGCATGTTTGGGTTCTGGGTGATTTTTAGCGTTTTGTTATGCAGTTGCACTGGTTTCTGTGATCTTCTGCTCTCTAAAAATGTCTCGGTTCCTCCTCCTGTGTGCACCTGTGGGGTTTTTCACTCGTTTTCTGCTCCAGCAGGAGAAAATGGTGCATCAGATCACTTAGTAAAGAAAATTAAAACATTTAAAATAAAAAACATTTTTAGAAATAAGACCTGATTCACAGGGCTTAAAGTAAAAAAAAAAATCCTGAGCCTGAACTTCCTCGTCCTTGACATGTCCAAGATGACCTACAATCTAAAACATGACATTTCTGAAATTGGTTTGTTCAAAAGAAATAATGGTATATTAAATACTAGGAAATGAATATAAAATAGGAAATATACAAAGACAGTTTACTAAAGAAAACTACAGTTCAGTTCAAATAACAATAACAAAAACATTAAAATGGTCCAAGAACTGGTAACTTAAACAGGGTTCGTACCATAGACTGTATACAAACAGGTTCGTACAGATACTGCAAAATAAAATTCCAGGACTAAATTCCTTGCACTACTTTTTTGGTTTTCAAGGACTAAAATCAGATCTCACTAATCAATCAATGTTGTTATTATCTT